TGCGCTATCTTGGAAACAGATGTGCAAGTCTAAAGAGGAGATTGGAGTTGGTATTAAGTCGCTAGAACTGATGAATGATAACTTTCTCTTAAAACTCCTTTGGAGGTACCCATCGCAACCTAACGAACTTTGGGCGCAGGTGCTATGTGGAAAATATGGACGACAATGTGAACTGATGACAGAGGATTTACTACATGTGATGCGTGATTGCACTCTTACTAGACTGATATCGAAGAATCTCGTACCCCCGAGAAAAGAAGATTCTTCTACCACGCAGAATGGCAATGGTGGCTTGAATCCAACCTCAGGGGATTCGATCGAACAAAGGAATACATGCTGCATTAAGTCGAGATTCAAGAAGGCGAAGGACCACCTGGAACACACCCCCGGCCGAAGTCCAGCAACCACTACTGCGGGGATTGGTGTTTTGCGGAAAATTCTAGTTAAAAAGACAATGTCTGTTTTTATTCTTTTTAAATAAAATGACAATTTTATTTAAAGTAATAAAAAATTTACACAGCTATGTAGAAGGCCCTCCAATTTAAGCCGGAAGGCCCATGAGGGGAACATAAACATAATTATTACAAAGTGCAGACACTTAAAACAACAACAGGAATCAGTTTAAACAGAGTAGATTATATTTAAAACTATTGGAAAAAGTTAGAATTATAAAATTAATCAAACTTTGCCATACAGGTTTTTATTTTTCCTGTGCAGTTATGGAAGTGTATCAGGGGTCTGCATACATATTCCTCCAAAGATAAAGCACTTCTAATGATGGAGGTAATCTTTGTCCAATTTGTAATAACGAAGCTGGTCTGAAACCATAGAACACCTGATTTTGCACTACTAACTAGTGTTATCATGATAGACACGAGCCAAGTACTACTTGAGGCTTGTATCACTACGACAGAAGAATATCTGACTGTCTTTCTCAGATATGCACGGCTGAATCCTACAACTTCGTCTTGATAGGTTTTTATAGAATATTTTAGGAAAAACAACATCTATTCGTTACGAATAACTAATTTAACTAATTTTTTTAATTTACTCAAATTAGTCAGTAACATAATGCAGCAAAAAGAGAGGCTCGCCACTGGCCGACTTACAGTTTCCTGCCCACGACGAGTGAACAACAGGGATATTTTTGGCAATGATTTTTTTGGACCATAAGATTTTTTTTGGACCATAAGATTGTTTAACATATTAAGATTAAAGGTTTAAGCTGGTGCTTGACTCATGGTTTATTTTATAGCTTTTTTTTAATACACTCCGATTTTATAATTTCTCGGGTTAAAATTTAAGCGACTAAGTAAAGAAAATTATAATATTTATATGGATGTTTACCAGTTCAACTTCCTGTGCTGTGGGTAATCTATTTGTTTTCTAAAACATAATTCCACCAGTGTGAAACAATGCTTTGGAAAACAATTAATTAATTATTATTATTAGACAAAAAATTAAAGTCACGTCCGATTACCGTTTGTTGTAGTTGCATTTCCTGATCAAAGGAGGTGCACTGTATAAATCACAATTATTCTTTTTCTCTTCCACATATCTGACTGAGAATTATCAGACCAAGAAAAGAAACTTATTCACCAGTTGAATTTTCTGTTGGGTCAGCCAAGAATTTCCCATTATATTTTTGAACTTCGAAGAGCATTTACTTATAACCTGTATATATAATCGAGTTCATTATTTTGTGGGATTTTCAATTATTAACGCTTTGAACACAACACCATAAACGGGTTTTTACAAGTATATAAAGCAGCCACCAAACGCGAAATTAAGTTGCTGTGCAATTCGATTACGTGAAGAGAGAATTATAATAAGTAATTGTTTCAGTCAAGATTGATTTTTGCAGGTTTTATTACATGAAGAATTCTTGGGGTCAAGGGTCAGCCAAAGCCGAAGCCTTCGATAATTATGTTTTGAAGAATATTTATCACAGCGAGTCAAATACCAAAAAAAAAAAAAAAAAAAAAAAATCATAACCGGGACACACGAAAAAAAAAAATCGAAGCCTACCACTGTTTCAGTATCTTACTAATAGATGTTACTTGGTCTTTAGTATAAAAGCTAATTTGACCTTTAATTTAATTCTAAATATAAGATCTTAATATATTTTGCCTTTCGTATTTATATATTTTTTTCAAAGTAGTCCACGTAGTAGTTGCACATGTTACAGGTTTCATCAAATGGTATTTTTAGCTAATACACATGATTAGTCAGGATATTTTAGGAAAGACAACACCAATTTAAAAATTTTTAATCTCTCTAACTCAATCAATTAAGTCTTATATTGAGGATCAAAAAGAGTATAAATCTTATAATAGAAAGAATATAATTATTACTGTTTTAACATATGATTTTAAGCTTAAATTTGTGTGAGCACAAAATGTATTTCAGAGAGTTATTTCGAGCTGAACGTTCTTCGAATTACTATTAGTGTTGTTACCAAAAGAATCCACAACTTGTTATCTCCTTCACAGTAAGTCCATATTTTTTTTAATTGCTACATGGTATCAAATATATCATCAAGTCATGTCAATTCTGAGATTCATGATGTATATTTTTTTTAACATTCATATAATTTGAACTTACATGAGTCCTTTTTCATCCAACTCAATTATAATTGGTTATTCTATAATTTTCTCATTATTATACATCTAATCAATCATGCCATGGCAACAAATTTACAGTATGTGGGTCTATCATTTTTATTTGAAAACATCAAAGCAAGAGAATCGTTTGCAATTCAAATGTAATTGTGTGTACATAGCGCGCCTAAGTGTAGGCAATCATGCATCGAGTTAGTGCCCATATTTTTACTATAATGATATTGGTGAAACTTAGTAAATAAAATATATTTTATTCGTCCAAAAATTCTGATTTTAAATATTGCGTTAATACTATTTTTAATTCATGAAATTTGAAATTTAATCCCACATCGTTAAAAATATTCATGATTAATGTCAATATTCTAATAGTCCGGTGAGAGGCAAAATTGTTATGATTTCAAACTTTAGAAGCAATCCAAAAACTTTTGAGTACCCAAACGCTCATAAATAAAAAAATTTTAAACAAATTTACATTTTAACTTTTTTTTGTGTGTGTGGATAGATCCCTCTCTTTCTGTAACTCCTATCGAAGCTGAAAAAGACGACATACGTTTTATTACATAAAATAAATAAATACCTCGAGGCTTTAGCTATGATTAAGAGTATTGAAATTCAAACTTTGTTTACTTGTTCGACTTCGTGCTCCACAGCTACCCCCAACGGATCCATTTACTTTTAGGGCTTGTTTGGATTGACTTATAAGTAGCTTTTCAAACGTGATTTACGGAATACGAGGTAAGTATGTGAGGAGAGTTTTGTCTCGACTTACGTGAACTTGCTTAAAAGCCCGTTTTGAACGGAGCTCCAAACAAGCCCTAATCGTTAAGCTCCCCATCAAAATCTAACCTTTGGTCCCCAGACAAGGTATTATTAGATTCAATTTCAAATGGTCATCATTCTAGGGAAATTAAGGCAAGGGATCTTCTTAACATTATTTTCAGATACAGTAAACGTGGTCAACTCAATACAGAATTAATTGTCTTCTTTGGTCACAATACAGAATTAATTAGTTGAACTATAACCACCGTTAATAATTCCACAGACACAGACTAACAACAGAAACTCTTGAAAGGAAAACGTTTTCACAACAAAACTGACTTTTACAGCAGACTCGAAGAGGAAAATAAAGAAAAATATACATAAATTATAGGCCTGAAAGGGGAGCAATCCTAAAATAGTAAGAACAAATGAATCAAAATCTCCCCACTGGTAAAACGTTAAGCAACATACAGTTTTATGTACAACGTTTCCGAGTGTTAAAACTGTTAAGTATACAGAATGAATGAATTTACGGTATCAATATTTGATAGTATGGTGGCGCAACCAAAGGTCATACATTACCATATGGAATGCGTCATAGCTTATGGGAGGCGTGTTCCACTGGAAATGTCTCTGGACCTGAAAGCAAACGTCACCCAGCTCCGTTAATTCCATACATGAAAGAAAATGATTCGATAGGCAACAAAAATCATAGTATTAACTATCAATGTTAAAGATAAAGGGTTTCAGGCGCATTCTCTTGATTTCCACTCTCGTTCTGAATTATATTAATTTAAGCAAGAATAAGGATATGCAGCGAAATAGAAATCTCGAGACTTGAATTTCTTCCTTTGGCGAAAAAAGACCATGATTAATATATAAGTTCTCAATACAGTGGTATGTAAATTCTCACCTTTACGACATTCTTATGAAGTGCAACAAAATCTTCATAGGATATGTTTTTCAGGATTTGCTTAAGATGATAAACATCACTCTCCTTGAGTACGACGGAGAATTTACTCCAATCAAGAATATCATTAAAAGGCAGGTCGTAGTAATTTGACAATATCACTGCAAAAATCAATTCAACATGAGATCAATTACAAGGTATCCTCAGACATCAAATCACATTATAAAAGGCAAAGGCAATACTTGTGCGTGCGTGCGTGTGTATATTCTCTTCAACCTTCTAAGTCATGTCAATCATGCTAACACAGCTGCTTCAGCAGTCATCACAAAAAAGGGCTGAAGTGTATATCTAACATGTTTTGGCACTAATTATATGATTAGACATAAACGATAGAACTAGAATTCAGCATTGTCATCATGCACATAGCAGGGTAAGAAAATGCAAGCTTCCTGGCAATAACTAAGGTGATTGAAGCTGAGAAGTTGAGTGGAAGGCCCTAGAACTGAGCCCTAGACGATTCAGTGGTGCACCTCAATCCCCCCAATCTTCCACAGAACAGCTAGTAACGTCATCCAATTATGAGATCTTCTTTTTCATATTAAATAATGTATAGATTATTTAGTTCTGAAATGACTAGTTTTCAGATGCTCTCTCGTTTCACACGTCAACATATGATTCCTGTCCTGGGAGCTAGTAAATACACTTCAGTCTAGATATAAATAGGGTTTGCTAATGTTTCTTAGCATACAACATATCATTTCAATATGTGTATTTAAATATAAGTGCAAGCAGTTCACAATACCTAACAGCAATTTTTGATGCAACATATCATTTCAATATGTGTATTTAAATATAAGGGCAACCGGTCCACAATATCTAACAGCAATTTTTGATAAGAAGAAGGATGCAAGGTAAGCCTTCCCCGTCTCATCCATAAATATCAGTGATCAGTTTATACTAATTCGCACTGTCAGAAAGTCGTATGGTTTTAGTACTTCATATGCAACTGTAAGATAAAATAAACACAATCAGAAGGGAAAAGGCCTACCAGGAATGCATCCATAATGAATAGAGTCAGTTATCCGAGCACTATTGACCTGTGAACCTCCAGGGCAAATGCAAAACTTGTTCTTGTAAAATCTTTTCTGGTATACCAGAGGCCCAACAGCCCTGCTAATCCTATTGTTTGAAATATCAAGCTCTGTGTCATTTTCCCATACACGTGCAAGGATAACTCTAATTTTGGAGTTTCGGTGACCAGCCCAGAAGCCAAGATTTGTCCTGCAATATTCACAAATATAAAAATAAAATTTGAAATAGAATTATGCATTTGGAAGAATTATCCGCCATCCTAAAGAACAATAGGATTAGCATCCTGCCTAAAAATTATAGGTCACTTTACATGTATCGAGAAATTAGAAAATTGATGACTGATTCTCTCCTGCTTTGAAAATCTCATTTCATGCCACTGACTAAAATGTGCTGAAGATAGAAGCACAGGCAGAGAAGCGTCATGATCAAGAAAAGCTGAAAGGCAGATCCTTCACAATATTAGGACCAAGAATCAAATTTTAGGATTTTAAATGTACGAAAACAAAAATCCTCTGACCATTCAAGAATTTAAATTGAGATTAGATAGAGTAGATAAAAGTGGCTGTTGCCAAGAGGTAATCAGCTTTCGATAACCTGAGAACAAGCTCTTCAGGAGTCATTTCACCTAGCTTTGTCAATATATTAGCTACTTGATCAACAGCAGGTGGCATAATTCACCTGAATAATCCCATTAACCACCTTCTTCCAGATAAATTAAAGTCCTAACTCAATGTGTTTAGTTTTAGTGTCTATGACCAGGTTAGCAGCTAAATCAACTGTCTTGGACTTATCACAACAATTGCATGGTACTCAAACTACTGAAATGTCCAACTCTTTGAGAAGAGAATAAATGGGCCAAGCTGAGTTGCATAAAGTATATGAGGTGTGTGTGAGTGAGAAAGTAGGCTACGGGTGGGGATTATATATAAAGAGGTAACGGGTTCAAGAAATAAGTCAGTGAATGTGCGGGAGAGCCTAGCACTCTCAAAATGCTAGGAACCAGTGTGCTTGTGTATTTCCTGTCATTTTCTCTTATTTTCTATGTAGATATATGGTTAGACTTACACTCTGCTAGATTTTTGTAAATCTTAATATGATTTGGAGGTTTGAGTTCCATCAGTTTAATGTTAGCGTAGTGCAATCCATGGGAGTTTCTAATGAGAAGCCTAAAAGAAGAATTGCAGAGTGAAGACTGAGATGAAGCTGGAAAAGGGCCACGTAGCTAAGACAAACAATAAAAGCAATGAAAAAAGCTATATAAAAAAGAAAGAGGAAGAAATGGCTAAAGTAGAGGCACAAATTGAGGAAGAAAATGTTGGAAACGATATGAAAGCGAAAGAGGAGATAAAAGGTGAAACAAGAAAACAGTGAGGCCAATATCAGATGAGATCTCAACAGACATAACGACAGAAGAGGATGCTGAGGAAGAGCTGCAGCATCCGGAGATTGAAGACCCAGAAGAGAAATTCAAAAAAGTTAACGTAACCAGAATTAGTATTCCTGCCATTTGAGAGGGCCAACTGAAGGAGATGACAAAGTTGGGAACCACTGAATTTCTAGAACCTATGAAGTTATTTCAGATTGATAGTTGAGGAAAGTCAGCATCCCTCACAGTTACATTGCCAAGCAAATTCCCAGACTCATTTAACATTTAATAATGAACAAGTCAAGAAAAGGGATTTGATGGGCAGCTGTGATAAGAGAATTAGGGTAAAACAGAAAACACAAACACTGGTTCCTAGCAATTCCAGAGCACTAGGCTCTCCTACAAATTCACTCATCGATTTCTTGAGTCTTCCTTCTGACCCACTATTATAGATGAATGCTGATAGAGTCCAATATCAGGGGCAGTTTACAAATTAGTTATTTTCAGTTATTTGTAATCTTCAATTTTAGGTGGTTATATTCAGTTATCCTTTGAGACTATTACAGTGGGATTATTTAAATATTAGTTATTGTCAGTTATTGATAATCCTTATCCTAGAATGTAGGAGGTTATTAGGAAGTTACTAGTCAGTTATTCTCAGTTATGTTTTCAGCCTATTTAAATCTATTGTACGATGACATTAGGTGTGAATGAAGTATATTATTCAGGAATTATTCAGGAATTTCCATCTTCTTCTCTCCTAGGATTTCAGATACTGATTCTAGGCTCTCTCTCTCTCTCTCTCTCTCTATAACACACATCTCTCTCCTACCTTCTCATCTCTTCTTTCCCCTCTCTTCCCTTCTATCTCCCCATTCTTATTCTCTCTTTTGCAGAATCTAACATTTTGGTATCAGAGCCCAAACTTTCTGGACCTGTTGGGATATTATGGTGAACACACGCCAATCAAACACTAACAATGTGCCTCTCCTGCCAAATCCTAACCCCTCTCACAGTGTATCTACACCCACCAATTCTTCTGATCTTCCCTCTACAGAACTGCTTTCCCAACAACTATCAGCCATTATGGCCAAATTAAATAATTTAGATACAGAAATGACTACTTTGAAGCAACAGAAGTCATTTCAAGCACCTAAAGGAAACCAAAGCCATAGTGGGAAACAGATTCATGAAGTTGATGATGAAGAACATGACAACCTTTGGTGGAAAAAGAATCCTTCTAAACGCCCACACTCTAAAGTAGAATTTCCTAAGTTTGAAGGAGGTGATCCTAGAGGCTGGGTTATGAAGGCAGAAAAATATTTCAGGTATTATCAAACACCTGAAGACCTTAAAGTTGATGTGGCAGCCATGAACTTAGAAGGTGATGCACTAGATGTTTTTACATGGGTTTCTTCTGGAAGATCTATCAATTATTGGGATGACTTGATTCAAATTTTTCAAGAGCACTTTGGCCCTGCTGAATTTCAGAATCCTGATGTGTACCTTTGTAGCATCAAACAATTGGGTTCCGTGCAAGAATATAGGCAGGAATTTGTTAGAAGGTCTTCAAGAGTGCATGGATGGCCTAAGCATTGCTTATTAGGTGTTTTCATCAATGGTTTAAAGGAAGAACTGCAGTCAGATGTTAAAATTCAGAAACCCCGAACTGTTTACAAGGCTGCAAGCTTGGCTCTTGAATTTGAAGCCAAGTTACAAAATCAGAATGTGAGTCGTTATGGACAGCGATCTGGAGTTACATGTGGCAGTGAGAGCAGTGTCAATTTCAAGGAAGATAAAGACGCCAACATTCCCAGGCTGTGTTCAAACTCTGCTCTTGTGAACGCACCAGTTGTTATGTCAAGTTTCAACACCCAAAAGCAACTATTACCAACTACTACTGGAACTTCCCAAAGAATGACCCACAACGCAACAATTTCAGACCATGATAGGAAGTTTTTTAGAGACAAAAGGCTGTGTTTTAAGTGTGGAGATAAATTTGTCCCTGGGCATAAGTGCCAACCTGCTTCTCTCAAACTCATGGAGATTACCGAGGAAGTGGAAGACCCTCATCTAAGAGCCCCAGATTCGAACCCATCATTAAAAGCTACCCAATTTCCCACATTTTGCCTTGAGGACAAGGCGTATTTCCTAGGGGAGAGTAATGATAGAGTCCAATATCAGGGGCAGTTTACAAATTAGTTATTTTCAGTTATTTGTAATCTTCAATTTTAGGTGGTTATATTCAGTTATCCTTTGAGACTATTACAGTGGGATTATTTAAATATTAGTTATTGTCAGTTATTGATAATCCTTATCCTAGAATGTAGGAGGTTATTAGGAAGTTACTAGTCAGTTATTCTCAGTTATGTTTTCAGCCTATTTAAATCTATTGTACGATGACATTAGGTGTGAATGAAGTATATTATTCAGGAATTATTCAGGAATTTCCATCTTCTTCTCTCCTAGGATTTCAGATACTGATTCTAGGCTCTCTCTCTCTCTCTCTCTCTCTCTCTCTCTATAACACACATCTCTCTCCTACCTTCTCATCTCTTCTTTCCCCTCTCTTCCCTTCTATCTCCCCATTCTTATTCTCTCTTTTGCAGAATCTAACAAATGCTGTACGAAAGAAGGAAGAAGAGAGAAATAGCAGGAGAGAAGAGATATTCAAGAGAAACAGAGGAAGAGTTTAGAAACAGAGAGAGAGATAGAGAGTGATGCAACCTGTCATTAAGGGTCATCAACTTTACAATTGTCTTGTGTCTAGTATTTATAGGTTCATATAACTCATGGTCTCTAACGACTTAGCATACTTATGTGATGCACTACCCCTTGTATACTCCATACATCTAGCCTACTCCCTCTCTCGCATACACTTCATATACTTTGTGACTTAGCTTGGCCCAATTCACAGGCCCATTATATAGGCATTGATTTCTAGACTAAGTTCAGCGAATCTAGACTAAACTAGTGCACCAACTATCATACAACTATTGGCTTGGGCTTAACCCAATACCTCTCATTTCACTTATACATTACATCAACATGTGTTCAAAAAAGAAATGAGTAGATATTGTTAAACCAGATTGAAAGAAAAATGAGTTACTGACATACAACTGTGGATTTAGAAACTTGACAAACATGGTCCGGAAACCAAGTTGAAGTCATGGGCATCTATAAGTTGTGTAAATAATTACGTCATGCCATCCTCAAAGAATAACAAGAATGAGAACAAGATTAACAAATGATAGCAGGAGCAAAAGTCATCTGTACAAGAAAGTAATGATGCCCTAAATTGAATATATGTTCTCAAATTAGGAACTAACATCAGTGAGAATGAAAGTATATACACTAAAAATTTTACCTATTTTCTATATCATTGCCTCCAGCTGGAAGAGCAAACGGCTGCAGTACTTGAGGAAGAGCAACATCTTTGTGTGGAATAAATCCAACATCATAGCTAGGGGAGCATACAGCTCGTATGGAATTCTTTACAAGGAGTGGAAGTCCTTCTGTTGCCCTTACACCAACATCATGACAGGTGACAAAAAAGTGATCTGCACCCAAGGTTCTGTTCCAATAAGGATATTTGGCTATTAAGTCCTCCACGTAATTTTGCACAATTATGGTCATGTTCTCATAAGATGTGCCCTGCATGATACACAAGAACAAACCCCATGAACAAGGAGGCAATTCTCCATCCAGACTTGAAGTACATTGTATGTATTTTTTGTTATGCACTTTCGCATTTCCTTACTTAGCAAAGAAACCATAGCCGTTTGTTAAGAATGTATATGAACAATTCATCAACTTCCCATCATATGACATAATAATTAAGAAAACAAAGCCCAGGAAGGATGCATGAAATAAAGTATGCAATTGCAAGGAAGTATACCCAGGAAATGAGACAATATCCATAAAGGACTAAGGGCCCAAGAAAAAATTTAAATATGATTAGCACAAACCACATCTAAGTTATATAATAAGAGATTGTATGCACACAGGGAAAAGATTTATAGCAAGTACTAAAAGAATTAGTAATTTTTTTGATATTCTATGACAATTTAATCATGGATTTTTAAGAACATAGCTAGTATCCTTCAAGGGAAGTAAGAAAAGAAAAGGAATATCTTTTTTTTTTTTTGGGGGGGGGGGGATTGTAATTGAATGCATGATGGATTCACATATTTCACACACCTCCCCATCTTTATGCCAAACCACTCACATCTCAAACTACATGATTTTCTTCTTAATACAGACTTGTTTGGTATTCCTAAATAAGAATCACTAATAAGGAACATCAGAAAGTAAAGTCTACTGTTTCATTAGATGGGGTCCTGCCTGTCCCTTTTTTTTTTCTGTTTTTTTTTGGGCGTCAAAAGCTATATAGTCATAGTCATATCTATAAAAATTCATATCCAAGTTATAGTCGCATCTAAAATACATTTGTCATTATCAACCCTTTTCTGCATTACATCCAACTGAATGCTACTATCTTCTCGCATCTCAACAGAAAAACTCGACGGCAGACATTTTCTAGCCTAAAAACTGAAGGCTTGGAGCATGGAGTAAAACAAAGAACAATCATGCAAATGCAAATGAATTGGTTAGTATCAACCATTTTCGCAGTTAACCTCACTGAAGGCTCACTACTTCCATATCAGATCTCTAAGGCAAAAGCCAAAGGTAGACATTTCCTAAACTCCAAAGCGCATGCCTAGAGCATATCTCACCTGGGATGCAGCAAAGAATCACAATTTTGCAATTGCAGTGCTAAAAGTTCTAATATACAAGCAGAAGAACTCCATATATACACAGAACCACCATAGCCAGAATCATGAAATCTCATAACAGACAACTCATACCTTGCCTCGCATCTTGTGGCATGAGATCGGAATGAAAAAGAGATGGCCTGATCTGGATCATCAGTACGGAATCGACTCTCTCTTATATTCTGAAAAAAGTATCCTTCGCTCGAATACTTGCCAGTAAGCTTCCTGGGCGTCTGGTAAAACGTGTTGGGATCCCCGTCGGGATATATATACACCTTGAATTTCTTCTCCATTTCCGCGTAATTCAACTTGAACACATGCGGCGAGTGATATATGTCAGAAAATTCCTCGTCCTTCTCCTCCTCCGGAACCGCATTTTTCACTTCAGCATCGATCAGTTTAGCGACGGAAACCTCCGAAATAGAACAAAAGGAAAAGAAAGAATATCAAGAAACAACTTTGACATCGAAGAATAAAACAGAAAGGGGCAAAGCGAGGGAAAGGATACCTGAGGTGCGGGAGCGGAGTATTTGATGGCGAGATAGGTAAAAGAGAGTAATGTTAAAATTGCGAGGAAAAGGAGTGAGCCGCGGATAGAAAAGAGACTCGAAGGTGAGGATTGCTGTTGAGTTTGCTTGCCGAACGTCATCAACATGGGATGTGGATAAAGAATATCGCTGAGATTGTGGTGGTGAAGCGAAGCTGCTGTATCTCAGATGGAGTGAGAAAGTAGAAAAGAACAGATGGGTACCGGTAGCCTCTTTAATTGTTCCGATCTCACTTCTGACATTGCCGCGTTCGCGTAACTTTATTTTAAGCATTCTGTTAGTGTTTTGATTTCCTATTTTGTTGTCGGTTGTTTTTGCGAGTCATCTACAGTCTCTAGCTCTCTTCTTCCTTTCCCTCTTCGAGCTCTCCAAAATGCTAACATTATTATTAGTCATTAAAAAAATATTATTTCCTTTCCTAATTATAAGACTTTATTTATACTAATTCTGATTATAAAATTTTATTTGTATTCTACAGACAAGATTTTATAATTAGAACCAAAGATATTATAGATATTTTTCCTTGATGAATTAATTGAGTCCAGTATGGCTTATAAATGAAGACTTTTGATTTTTTACCACACCAGCGGAAAAGCAAGTGTTAGACCTTTATAATAAACAATTTTAACTTCAAGAGTAGTAGCTATGAGATTTGTCTATTGACAAAATAATACTCCTCCAATTCTATATATAAACTTCAAATAATCAAATTATATTTAACAAACCAACAGCTAAAATTAGTTAAAAATAATAAATAAGTTAACGATATTTTTTTCTCTCAAATTTACCCTTATTTATTTATTAAGAGGCTAAATGAAAGAAGTAATAAATGAAAAATAATAAAAAAGAATATATAGTAGTAATATTAATAAAAGAGGGTGAGTACTAAACATGATCAATTAAGGACAAAAAAAAAATTCAGACAAACTCAAAAATAAAATTTATATTTTGAATCACAATTCTCTCCAAAAGTAAAGCTTACATGGAGTATGACTATTGATTAAAAGAAAGTACATAATTTTTGCCATAAAACAACTTTATAGCGAACTGAAGAGTTAAGGTGAAGAGGTACACATGAAATATTTCCCCATGCGTATTTGGCATTAAAGAATTTACTCAGGTACAGAAGTACCCATGGATCTTCTAAAACAGCAAAACTTTCATCTTCATGTGCTCTAGTTTAGAAGATTCATATATGCTTCTACACCTAGGTAAATGCGCATTAGGATACATTTCACGGATGCTTTTGCACCTTACGCCAAAACTAATTCCCATCAACTCATGTGGCACTTGAAAAAAGAGAGTAATGGGATCTAAAATCCCCTCTTGAAATACAAGGAGGAAAAATAAACAAAATTGAGACCCATTGCGTCAGAAATATTATCCACCATTTCATCTCAATCTCTTTTCAACTTCAAGTTGCTATGCCTGCCCAGATCTTGATAAGACTCAAATCCAAACTACACATATGAACTTCTGTTTAGTGAAAAAAATGGTCAAGCGGCAAGATGGATTTAACTTTGCTGTAAAAAATTTCCTCTATAGGATCAGAGCAAGAATGAAAATGGACCTTTACATGCTATCGCAAGACGAAATCAAATCATGAACCAAAAAGTGACACACTATAATATGGAACATGATCATCTACACTTTGGCTGCAGCATATACATGAAAATCCCACCAGCAACTGAAACATTGAGAGACTCAAATTCTCCGGCCATTGGAATGCTGACAAGCTCACATGCTTCCATGGACTTCTCTGAAAGCCCACTTCCTTCACTACCCAAAACCAAGCACAGAGGCTTATCCGATACAGAATCGCAGAAGCCTGGAGACATCCGACTAACCGGTTTGGCTACCCCTTCATCCTCTGGATGGCCACCTAACAACTTCATTCGGAATTGCCCTATAAGAGACTCCAGATGAATCCAACTGCCAGAAACTATGGGTAGCTGAAAGGCAGCACCTCGGCTAGCTTTAAGAGCTTTATCATTGAATGGATCACAGCAACCAGGAAGAAGAAAAACGCCGTCCTGTTGAACAATAGCCATGCAAGTCAAGTCCTCTAAGACGTATTAAAAATTATGTAAACTCTGTTGGGTCCAGATGATGCAAGAAAACAATTTTGTTTGACGTATGTTATGAAACAGGAGTTCTTCTAATATATTGTACGTGCACAAGAGAAAGAAGTCTCACGGTGAACTAAAATGAGAATTGGGTGGCACTAGAATTCCTTAGACTGTTAATGCCAAATCACCGATTTTATGATAAAGAAAAATGAGAGTAACATTCTATAACTTGATGCAGAATAGAAAAATTGTCTTATTGTTTATTAGAAGTTTCAAATATTCGAGTCAGTTACAACACTGGTTTCTATGCAATAAGTTTGTCAATTGACTAAATAAGTCGTGGAGAAGTAATTTGGCCAGTGAAGTTAAAGGTAGTCAAAAATTCAAACTAGCAAAAATGGAATATTTTTATGGTCCTTTGGGGAAATAAATGAAAAATTTTATCTTCTGAATTTTCCTGGTTTGCTTCCAAGGAGGCGAATTTTTGTTAATCTTAACCCACTCTGCTTCTATTACATTTTCCTTTTTCCTTCCACACAAAACCATTAAATTTCAGGGCTGCAGGCATCACATGTTTTTTGTAAAATGTAAGCATGGAAGCAAGTCAATAAAAAATTAAAGCCAGCAGATTCTTCACTAACAAAAAGAAATGATGCAACTTAATCAAGTCTATCAAAAACAAGTTCCTATACACTTTAGCTGGCAATCATAAGAATCAGAGACCATTCAAGATGACAGGGTCAAAACAATAAGCATTAAAAAATTACAATTACAAGTTTAATTAAATAAAAAAAAAGGACCTGGGTGGATGGAAGAGGAGAATGATTTGAGGTTTACAATGCAGTCCTTACCCAGCCAAAGGCCACAGCTGATCTGAGTAATGTACCAAGGTTACCAGGATCCTGCAGGGAACAACTCTCTTAGTCATGCACATTTCTTAAAGTTGCAACATCGTTATACTATAGTGGTTGCAAATAAAAAGGTAACAGATGAAACAGCCCAAAATTAGTCCAGCTCAAGCCCCTTCTGGCAACTAGAGTAAATCATATTTTATTCAACTTCTTCATCACCTCATCCGAACTATAACAAGGATAACATAACTACCCCTTTTGCCAAGGAAATTTCAACTACGGAAATAGGAACTTTCATTTCAGCTCTTCAGCAAAACTACGCAAGAATATGCACTAGACTACAAATTGAATGGTATAGAATAACTCGGTATTCTAAGTTGGTCTCATGCAGCTTCCTTAATACTGACTCTAAAAGGCACCTCCACTAACCGCCAACCCAAAAAGTAGCTTTCTAGAAGAAGCACTTATAATAACCAAAAGAAGGGGTGACAACACTAACAGAAGCATAATGAGCTGCATGCTCCCAAAATCAGAAAGAACCAAACACACCATGATCCAATGGTTAAATTAAGCAGGGCATAATTGTCACCTGAATCCTTTCAAGGACTAAAATCCGATGAGGAGATGGAAACCACCTCCGACAATCTGCTGTGTCTTGATTGTCATCTAAACTGAAGAAACTGGTAGGGATATTCATCAGGGCCATGGCATCAAGACTATCAGTTGACTGCAGCCGTGCAAGTTTTTTCATCACTGTAGAACTCACACGCACAACTGAAGTAGGGGATTTATCTAGCCCTGCTGGAATCTCAGTTTTATCAGGCAGAATCAAACAATCCATCTTAATATTGTTATCTTGCGATGACTCTTGAAACCTGTATATTTCTCTGCAAATGACAATTTTATCTTCATCAACAGCCTTCTCATAGATTCAATCCCTGAAATATTTTTATCCATAACATCATATGTGATGGACAGATTTTTGCAATGTGACAGACATTTGTGCTAGGGTAGCCAAACAAATAATGTCAGGATATTGTTTGGTTATATTTGACAAATTAAATTTTCCTCCCAACTTAAGGGTTGCATTGAGTTTGTACACTAGTCACTGTCACTCTTAGCAACGGATATAGATAGATATTTTCTTTGTCTCCGATGACTTTTTGAAGTGCAATTTCCTATATGCTGTTATCATGCCTTCCCTTTGAGAAAGTCAAACGGGCCGACAAATCACAAAGTGGAAGTACATGTTTGAAATGTTATAGAATTGTATTTAAGGCATCCATATTATTGTCTACATAAAAATCAATGAAGGCTCAAGTCTGAAATAAACATCTTCTTGATTTACAGCTATTTAAGATACTTATGACACCAGGTTTGTAACTTTGCTGCCAAAGTTCTGTAATTCCAGCAACCCGTATCTCGGAAAAAAGTGTTTTGACTCTACCATGAGAAGGATTTAGTGATAACAGGGGGGGAAAACTTGAATTGAGAACCAATGCAAGAAGTTCTTTCCAAGAGCCTAATATATATACACACTCTGTGCAAAAGAACAAAGCTGAAAACAACTCTTACACAAGGAAATAATGTTCAATTGAAAGTCCAAGCAGCCTATGAGAATAATTAAATACCACAATGCTTCATACTCATTGAAGATTAGGACTAAGAGTATACTCCATTCAATCCTAAATATAAGTCATACCTCATCGAAACTAAGAAAAGTCAGCTGTCTTATTAAAATAGTCTTAAAATTGAAGTAGATTGTCATATCTAAGTCTAATTAACATTTAACACCGTCTATTTAGAAAAGCATGTATAAATAACCTACATCGGAAATCCACAAGAAGGGTGTTTTTCTAGAAAGGAACATTAAATACCCATGAACTCATGCAAGGTACCTATGTATAGGACCAATAATTTCTCCTATAAAGGATCGGTATAAACTACTTAAGCTAACAAGACAATGCAATTCATTACATAGTATGCTCCAAAAGTCAGACACGCTAGGTTCATAACGGATACCCATTGCCCGGGAGGGCGGGGGGAAGAAATCTGAGGCCGGAAACTTGAAGGTTATGAATCTCAAAATAGAATTTCTAAGGATGAGGAAAAATAATTACTGTCTTGTCAGCGGAAAAAGTTTCAAAAGCGCTAAACATAAGGTTTCCGACAGATTACACCGTCACCAGAAAGTCCAGTAAAATTTAACGGCCCAGTAAAAGAATCGACTTCTAGCATAGAAGTCTTGGCAAGTATCCAATTTTCAACAATAAGAAGCAAAGAAACAACGAGCAAACAGGATAACAGCAGGTTGGCCGACGCGAGTAAGCACTTGGAAATAGACTGCATAAGCAAAACGACAAACCTGATAGGTGTAGAACCCACGACAAGAACCGAACCATGATAACGACGATAAGAAGAGTCGTTGCGGAGCTTGAGACAGTGCTTCACAAAAGGGTTTTTAGCACTGGTAATAAATTTCGATTTTGCATCAGAAATTGCGTGAAGAATGTCATCTTCAGAACCAAAATTGTCATTATAAGCGACGTCGTTGTAATCGGAACTTCCTTCTTTGCGCGTCTGCGGTGGAGCAACTGAAAAGCTCGAGTGAAAAGATGGTTTTCTGAACGCTTGAGGTTGAGGGCAGAAAATGGAAGCCCCCTGAAGATAACTGCATTGCATCTTCGCCCTTCCCTTCCCTACGCTATGATTATGGAACGGCCTGCGGCAAGGCCTCAGTCAGAAGGCTTGCTGTCTCAACTTCAGACAATTAAAGTGACATTTTCCTTTATTTAACAAAAATGTATGGAAACATCTGGTGACTTCTGCTTATGTAGTGTGAGAGAACGTTATTGGCTACTAATACTTACGAGTACAGAAACGAATAGTTATAATTAAAGAAACCACAGGGATACATCTGGAAAAAACCACACCAAGCTCATTAAATTGTATATAGAATACACATCTCGATGCAAGCAGGTTGAATGCGAGTGCGCTTAAATTTAGCCAACATATTATAAGACTTAAATTTAGTACTCGTTTTCTCCGGTAAAAAAAAAAAAAATTTAGTACTCGTTTCGTTTAAAATTATAGGACACTTTTAGCCAACATATTCTTCGACAAATCCGTCAATGTCATTAGAAATATAAATTATTTTTATATTTACCGGTGAAAAGAAATAGACTGAATCGATTGGTTCAACAGAAAAACTTGTAAACTGGCTAGTAGTCCAATTTAGTTTAATAATTGAACTGGTTACAAATTGAACTGGCAGCAAACTGGTCAAACTAAGGGGTAAACTGGTGAAACCGGTAATAAACTGGTTTGAATAATTACATTGTTATTGATATTATTTTTTCTCATTTAGCCCATAATATCTTAGTCATTATGACTTTGATTAAATTTCAATGATGATTTTGGTATCAATAATTATTAATTTTAGTTATTAAGGAATGACAAAGATCAAAATTTTTAATATTGTTATACTTTGTTATTGTTATAATTAAACTATTGTTGTATTTTCTTATATTTTGTTATTAGTGATTATTATTGTTCTTGTATTTTGTTATTTTTAATTAAATTATATTATTTTAATATAACTGGTTTGATTTTTGTTGGGTTTCGGTTTGACCCATTGACCCTTGAACCACTACATTAACCGGTTTAATGTATAGTCTGGTTTTTTGTTCCTTAATATTTACCCTAGAAAATATGAGAAAAATGAATGAGTATTTCCAAAAATATCTTATTAGTTATATTTTGAAAACACAAAAATGCTTGGTATTTTTAAAATCAAATGCAACCCACTTGTGAAAAGCGAGGAGGCATTTGGTAGCGCAAATAGCATGCCCAGATGATTAATCTTGTTAGATTCCAGGAATGTGAAAGCTAATTTCTATTGACGTTAAAAGAAAGAAAGAAAACAAATTTTCGCTCATGTGCAAAAAAAAAAAAAAAAAAAAAGATTGAACAGTGTCTTGGACAAGCAGCAAAAATTCCGCCGCTATGCTGTTTCACTTTGATGCTTTTGTTCGGAACAGTTTTAATTAAACTTATTATATCTGGATTATTTATGTCTCATTTGAATGATTTATATTTGATTTTTTTTATTCAAAATGATTATTTTAATATATATAGAATCTAAAATGAAGATAATTTCTTAACTATTATTTTTTCAAAAAATAGTTTTTCTATTTAAAAATAATTAATTAAATATTTTAAATCTAAATCATTCAAATCTGATATAAATGATTCAGATCTGATGAGTCTAGGATACTCATCAAGATCATGGACACTGAAACTCGTTCCCCTTTCATGACGTTCTTGGATGCTTCGCTCAGAACAAGGGAAAAAATTGACCGAAGAAAGCCAATGCACATGATTACAGGGGGGTTTGGTTAGTTCTAGAAGTGCTTTTCAAAAGCACTTTTTTGCAAATCGAGACAAACTCTTCTATATATTTACTTCGTATACCGTAAAAACACTTCTGAAACTATAGTTTTGTTCTTACCCAAACACTTTTTATATTTAGAAGAGGGATGAGAAAAAGGAAGGAAGGAAGGAGAGGAATATTGAGCTATGTATGATAATTTATATCCCCCGAGATGTTGGTAAAGTCACAGCCGGGGATTGGCTAGAAAATTCATCTATAAGAAAATTCTTTCAGTTCTATGGGATGTTGACGATGTAGGTAACATGACTCCTATCAGAAGTGGATGAGATATTTTCCCTCCTTTGAGATGTTGCAGACGAACCTTCATTCCAGTGTGGTGTTTTAGAGAAGTACAACCTCTCTTTTGTCTGGGGCGTGGCGGCTGACACTCCATGGCTTGTCATGTCCTGATCTTCCATTCCATATCTCTCTTAGACGATGAAGGAAGAACCAGGGACATGGCTGGTCTTCCAAGACCCTTATCAGTTGTTGGAGAAGCAGATGACACGGTTGTGATCTCAGTAGTAGCCATCTGGAATGGAAATTTGCACTCCTTGTGCTGGTGAATCACACTCAGATTCTACAGTCATCATCTGTGGCGCTATTTCTCCAGGTTAGTGTCTATCAGCTGGAGGCACTCTCGCGCGTGCACACATTATGGTGAGTTTCATTAAATCAAGCACTGCTCTGGCCCTCTTTCTATCACAATATGAGAGGGAGATCAGGAGAGTTAAGAACAAAAATAAACTTGCTTAGTTGCTCATATAGAAATTTCTACATCAAATGGCATGCTGCATACTAGACCAGCCTCAGCCTCGTTCTGGAACTTCCTAGCAGCTACACCAGATGTGGTAAATATGGTAGCTTGGCTACCATACCTGTAGAATCAAAGGCTGAAGTCTTTTGAATAGAAACATGTAGGTTCAGGTATATCCCAAAATAATGAACATAAGAAAACATGTAAGAAACAAACTGGTACCACAGTATGTCTTCCATTAGGTAGTAACCTTGCACCATTTTCAACACTGCTCTGAACTAAGTTACATATCTGATCCTTTGCCTGTGTCAAAAATATATCCAAAACTCAAAATTAGCACAAAATAAACACAAGTTATTTCCCAGTGCATGCGCAATTGAGATACAATATCCAATAAAGAAGCATAATTAATGACATGAAAACACAACAGACAATTTGATGGAAAACTTAAGTGTATGTTTAGTTTCATGTTCTGAAGTATTAAATGAAGTAAAGCTAAACACTCTTTTATACTAGGCCTAAAAATAGATTTATTTTTGTTTATTTTATGTTTATCTTCCAAGTTAGATTTTCTCCATTGCAAGCTAAGGCAAGATAATATCACCACCAAAAAAAAAAGTAAGACAAGACACCTAAGGTTATCTGGGTTACTTTCAAAGCTCAGATTTAGATTACTATTATCTCCTAAGATTAGTTCATCTTTTAAAATATTGTGTCTGCAACTTTATAAATAGCCCTAGGGTTTCCCACATATTAGACTTATGGGAATAATATTAACTATTTTGCCGTACTCTCTCAAAGTTCTTCCTTTACTCCCTCCTCTCTCTCAGTCTCTCCCTCCCCTTTTCCATCCCCCTTCATTGTTATACCTCACAACTTCAGCACTTTCCGGAAACACAGATAATATCAGCACCTCCTTGCTAATAACTGGACCAAGATCAGCACGAGGCTCTGTTCCTGCATTCACTTTAAATCCTTTGACACGCTGCACAAGTTCTTCTACCCTAGAAATACATCAAATGAGCACAACAATTCAGTTATACAGGGCCCCATTGCTTTTTAATACCTAAGTTCATTAAATCGAACAGCTAATCAACAAGAAAGTTTCTATTTTGCAAGTGCAAGCATATTATAAACATAATGTACAAACTGGAAGACATAACAGAAAGTGAAAGGATGCGCAGGTGTGCCAAAGAAAAGAGGGATGCAGATGGAAAAGGCATGTAAATAAATAAAGCCAAGCAAAAGAGAATACCATGGCAATGATCCCTCAATAAAAATAGAAGTGCTTAAAGTCATGCACGTCTCTCCCCCCGCACCAAAGGAAGAATCAGTGAGAGCACCTAGAGTAGCATCCATGCTAGCATTTGGCATCACAGCTGCATGATTTTTGCTTCCTGGACTGGACTAAATAATGCAGAGAGTATCCAATTAGGTAGACGCTATTTTTGGATTCAATTTCCATCACTGGAACCATAAACTGCATTTTGCATTTTACCAGAACCAAAATTAAGAGGACATAGGAGACAGTTATTCACCTGGACACGTTTCCCTCTAGAAGCAGGCCTCGCATATATGGGCATTCCAGCCTTAAAATGAAGTAAACCATTGAAGATTAAGACAACATAAAAGTAACACATCAGAGCGACAGCAAATAATTCTACTAAATACAGTGAAAACAACAGGAAAAGGCGAGTGTGAACAAGGGTAAGATATCGGTGCAAACATACTCTCTCCCTTTTAGTGAAAGAAAGGAGGGGCAATTGTAAATTAGATATAAAATGGAAAAAATTTACCGCTTGGATATAACTTTGAATTCAACCCTTTCCCAATAATGGGATATAAAATGGAAAAAATCTTGTCCCCTCAAGATGTAATTTTCTCCAATTGAGGGGGCCACGTGGCTCTGCCCTGCACAATGGGCTGCACTGCCTATAATTTTATGAACATGGCATGCATGCTAAAGAAAAGTAACTTGTAGACAATACTCCAAGAAAAATAAAGCAAAAAGTGTAGATGATGGCTAAAGCCAGAACTGTTAAGGAGTAAAACAGCTGACGTTGGTTACTTTCCCAGTGCTCCCCAAATTTGCAGTATTATAACAATTTCCTTTTACTTGTTTGGTAATGTGATCTATGTTTCATACATAGGGAAATTGAATCAGAAGTGATATATGGTCACATTAAATTATGTAATGGTAAAGCAGAACTAGCAATGCTCAGACAGTCATCTGCACATTAACTTTCACTTCACACAACTTGAGACACCTTCTAGATTCTCACCTCCTGCTCAAGTGAAAAACTTGCCTTGCACTGACAAGTAGCTCCAAGTTAGGGTTTTCTCAAACAAAACATACTAGATCATCTAAGAGCTAGGTCAGGCAACAGGCTAAGACTCCAAAAGCCTTAAAAACAAAACATGGAGTGCAGAAGAGGAATATCAGTGGGGAGGTTGCCCTCTGCCCTTCCTTATACCAACAGAAAACAACACTAAGATGTGAGTTGAACAATCTAGAAGTTGAATCAAATTCCCTCCTGTTGGCCCCATGAGT